ACACAAATGATGCAAACAATTCATCAGTATTTCATGAACTTTCTTCAAAAGAACGTCGGTTTTCGGTTGCTCTTGTCCATTGCAACAGCTGGAGCTTCGATGGCCTTAGTGTCAGTTGTTTGTGTTGCTTGTAATAAAAGCGTTTGCTTGTACTGCCTGCCAACAATTTAACTAATAGAGTAACGAAACCTATAGTAGCAATCGTTGCACCATCGAAATATCCTGGGAAAGATAGAAAACATGCATACATTCTCACATATTTTAATTAAACATTTCAGCAACAGGAATAGGTACATCCGAATCCACTGCTCAATGTCACTGATGTTTTTCAAGAGTGCCATTAGAAAACATGATACTATTAATAAGATAGAAATAATAGAAAAACTGACGCATACAAAATTGTGTGATGGACAACGCAAGCAAATTGGAAATCATTTAATCTTGCAATTTTCATATAGAAGGCGAGGAAGCGCCTTTGGCCCTGATTTTAAAGTAATGAAAGTGCAATTTCATTTACAGGACACTTTAATATATTGAATTAGCACAATCACGCAATGTCCTTTCCTCTGGCAGCCTACAAACACCATTATCAAGCCATGGCCATACGACACTGCAGCAGTTAAGACGCATGGATGCACTGCCGTAGCATGTTAGTTGGAGCAAAAATCTGTCCGAATGCCAACTAATATACCTCATTCAATATGCACTTATAAAAGCAAACAGCCTTATCCATGATATTCAACTTTTACTAGCAAAGTCTGTTTTTGATACCGCACTATCATAATACATAAGTTATGCTCCACCGTTTTTACATCTATTCATTGCGGATGCAATCCCAGAAAGGCCTGGTATCATCCAGGCCACTGGAAGCGTAAGAAACACCGCGATTACGCCATGTAAACTCGGACAGGCGACATATCTGCTATGTTAACTGACAGTATAACTTTTGTAACTAAACCCAAACAATCACTCTATTTCTGGCGATTATACTAGTTAGCGAGAAAAATAATAAATAGGCCATTACCTTCTGATTGGTCGAATCATTTTTTCTTTAGCACGGAACAACATCAGATGGCGATGTAAAGAGTAAACATCTCCGTAACGACGCCGTATTACCCATACATTATCGCCATGCCGAAGTTCAATCGTAAAACTAAAAAGAAAACTGCAAAAAGAAACAAAACGAAGTAGTACCAAGAAGTTTAAGATTGAAAGACTAAAATATACTACGAAGGACCCGAAAAGAAAACATCATTCAAAACATTTATTTTAGCGTCTTAAAACATTTATCGCCCTACAGCTATTTGCGCCTCTATGTTCGGCACCAATTTCGAAATTCAAGCGCCAGAGCGGGTCAGCACTGTAGTAGTGCTGCCATTCCTCTCCCGTCCCAACTTCAAAGTTTGGCGCTAGCTGACGATGTAGGCGACTGTCTGCTCGAGGTAGTCACAGTCGCATCCAGGATTCTCCTTGTACCGCCACCAGGGAAATGGTATCCGGCAATGGCGTCAGTTATCTGAATTCTGTTCACAGCCGCCCATTGTTTCAGGCTCAAGCGCAGTCTGTGATTTTTCAGCTGAACAGTCAAGCATGCTTATACCCGAATTCTGCCATTCTTTTTTTCATTAGATGGCGGAAGTTCGCCAGAATGAATTCCGCGATTTTAAAGAGGATGCTCAGTTCAATTGTGAATGACTTGTTCTCACTTGAAGTGCCGAATACAGAGTCCCTCATAGTGATGGGCAATATTAATGCGCACGTCGCGTAGATGTTGAAAAGTGGAACGGCGTGACTGGGAAAAACGGCCCCAGCGACCTCAACAGTAACGGCATGAAGTGGTTGCGGTTTTGTGCAAAGAACGGATTGCCATTATGAACACCTTCTTCGAGCATCGAAAAGTGCATCAGCACACCTGGTACCGGGAAGCCTGTGCAGAGATGTCGATGATCGATTTGGAAACCGTATCGTCTGTCCTAAGACGCTCAGTAATGGATGTTCCTGTTAAAAGAGGCGCAGAGCTATCAACCGATCATCACCTTGTTGTTGGCACGCTTCGCTGTAAAAAAATGGAGTACCATACGAAGATCCGGTGGCAGAAGCAACCGGAGGATCAAATGGGAAACATCGTCTTCGGTGGACACAAGAGCGAAATTTGCAAACAACATCGCACGACGGTTTGAACAGATCCCAGCGATG